AGAGCCATCACTTGCAACTGCGTCGAAAAAATTCTCCTCTGTTAAAGGGCGCCCGCCTACTATTGCCTGACAGCTGCTTCTCCGTTGTCTTTGTACTTTCACACAGTAACTTACAACCCTAGACCCGGGGTTGGAGACTGTCACTTCTCGAGCGAGATCCTTTGGGACTGCACGTTAACCATGGAAATGCGACTAAGCTAGGGTCACGCGACCCACAGCCGTCGTGTTCACCTGGGCAGTTTCCAAATCCGAAAATTCTTGAAAGCCATGAAGCTTAATCTACAACGCCCTCTTATACCGTCCCTAATAAGCCTTTTTTACACTACCTGTAAGGCCATCCCATAGAACCAACTGAATCCTTCAGCGTTGCGTGTCATCATCCGAGATGTCTCACCTCCGCCATACCACACCGGTAGCTCCCCGACTCTCTTTGGTCCTGCATACAGCGGTCGACTTTGTGCCTTTGCAGGGTATTGGTATTGGTATAGTTCAACGCGCGCCAACAGGCGCAGCTAGGAATAATATCATACCAACAGAGAAGCGCCAGTATAGCGTGAAGCGTAGCCAGTTCTCAGCCGAGAATGTCAAGACACGGGAAAGAGCTTACATGTTCGCAATTCTACATGCGATGGGGCTCGCGCGAGGTACAATCAAACGACGGTGTACTACGACCCTTAGGATCCAAAAAGTCACGGTGCTCTGTGACTCATCAACGGTCGTCGACCTGATTAATTTTCATCGCGAGCACGGCCCTAAGAGTCTGGAGAGTGTGATAAGTACGAATGATCGCGCGATAATCAAAAGAGTTCTGACAGGTATTCGAGAGCTGTCGCGACGTGGAGTCGATGTTGCTATTGCTGAAGATGGACAGGAAAGCAGTAGCAAGGAGACAATAAAAGCGAAGACAATGGCACGGCAGAAGGGGAGGAAGGCGTGCCGCAGCCGTCGCCAAGTACAACAGACCGCTTTGATAGAAACAGAGGCGGCTGGCAACCAGACAGGAATCGGCGTTGCATGATTGTCATCCAGGCGAACGAAGGAAGAAGGAGGTGGACAATCACAGTCACGATGAGAGAGAAAGAGGTGTATGTGACGCTATTTTGTATGAGAATCGCACTCAAATCCCTCTCCAGTCCGCCCATACCAAAACCGAAGCTAAAGCATCACCAGCTGGCGCATTGCAAACAAGAACGATGTGGCCCAAACACCAGGAACTCCAACATCCTCCATATGAACTGCAGATGGGAAAGTGAAACTGCGTTGAACATGGGCAGAGCCGTACATTGTATGAGGTGTGGAGAGGATGCAGGATGCGTAGAAAAGCTGACGAAGTGTGCGTCTGCAGGAGAGACGATGTGAACCACCAAAATGTGTCGAAATGTCAATACGTATCTACGCAAAATTGTTACCAAGTAAGGATTTAAGACTCCTGTTGTACTAAAAGGATAGATTCATTCTACCGCCATTTTCAGTGGCAAATGCCGACCCTTTCGTAGGGCATTGTCGTCTGTGGTCAGTCTGTACAATGCAACATGTGTCAATCCATACGTATGAGTATCCGTCCAGGAGAGCCTGAATACATGATCCCTCAAGTTTCTTATAGCCCAGCATTTCCATGATCCCAGCGTCAGCAGCTATGTCCGGGATGGTATGGCAGTCCCGAAAGGACACTTCACCATTTCGCCAGCGATGTGAGAGGATAGCATACGGTGGAACTTTCTGACTGTATTCCTGGAGAATGATTCTAAGAGAATGGTCCACATCTCTGGAGAAGTTCCGGGGGATACATGATGCCTAAGGCGTGAGGCTACAGCCGAGTATTGAGGTGTTCGGAGGAGCGAAAGTCTTCTTAAATTGGACATCAAGCGCTGCCAGACGACACCAAGAGTCAGCATTGGCCTGTCGCTTGCCCATGTCTACTGGAATGTTAAGAGAAATATACACGAATATTATGCAGCATCGAACTTACCGTCCATGGTCGCATTAGGCGAAGTGGTCGCTAAGGAATCATGCAGAACCCAACATCTCCGATAACGGCTGTACTACGTTCCAAACGTGCCATGGTGTTGGAGGTGGTAGCTAGACGTTCATTAGCGTGTGGTTGCTGTTACATGGAGGACCGAGATTGAGTGAAAGGATCGCCCAACAATCCTTGTTACTCCACCTTTCTCAGTGCATGCAGTCAGACACCACAATTTGAGTGGCCAGTACTGCAGTGGCCCATGTTACTACGTCCGGCGAGATGCGAGTTACGTTTCCCCCGAGCAACCTGCCCAGATGCGACCAACTGTGGGGTTCAGTGTAACCAAGATTGTCCTGACGGGTAGATCGCGACCGAGCTCTTCCTTTCGAATGTGATCAGATTCGAGCCACACGTTACGCCGAACCGGTTGGTGTGACAAGGTTTATACCTAGGTAGTTCCTTCAAGGCTTAGGTTATCCCTGTACATCACAAATATCGATTTCGAATCCGCGTCTGTCTACGAATGTTTGGAGGTACATTTGTGAGCGAGCGAGTTCCGGGTAGCCGTTGCATATATTGTGTCTCGGAAAGCATGGTCATTATGGTATCTCTGGACAGCCTCCGTACCCGTACGCAAGAAACGCAACAAAACATCCAACCCAGCCTCCTACATCGACGTAAAGACCACACAACAGCCAGTCACACGTTCCTACCATTGACCGATCATATATCACTCCGCAAAGAGTAGAGTGACCATTGTGTTCGTCGCTTCGAACACACCTTGCCTCTCAAGTAAGGAACTGAAGGTATCGGGTATCTTTTTGAGGTTGTCATTTTCATCTGCTTCAGACCCTGCGAACACATCAGTATAGCGGATCCATGATCAAGATGGCGGGGAACTCACAGATCCTAGGGAAAGCAGGTTCAACACCAACCGTAGACACAGCCTCGCCTGTCCAGTCGAACCCAATACGCCACGTTATCTTGAGAACAACATGTGCGTCTTCTAACACGAGAATATCGCGCCCAAGATGTCGTAGTAGATCCTTCCTGACCATGGCTTCAGATGGCTTGCCCCTGACGACTACATTCTCCGTGTCATTGCTAGTACGTCCCGGTATAAGATGCGAAAACGCGCCTTCGCATCTGTGCCAGAACTCTGCGCGTTTCTTTGCTAGCTCCCAGAACGAGCTAATAGCCCAGCAGACGGTGCTGACGTCTTTGGCGTCTGCTTTGATGCGAACGAATGCGCCTAATTCTCGGCTAGCCCAACTTGAAAGTCGAGCAACTTGCAGATCAATGACCTCGTGAGTGATACCGTCGATTGTCAGTGCCAATGTGCTTGTTAGAAGTTTCTGCGGGCCAACGATTTCGAGGGTATGCTTCTGGCGCGAATGCGACTTGTTCCCACCTGGTGATCTAGCAACGCTAACTGCAGAAGTAAACTTGAAAGATGTGAACATCTGTAGATATGGTAGTGGCTCGTCCAGCTCGAGTGGCTTATGTGAAGGAAGAGTCGTCTCTCGAACGGCTTTCGACTGTGGAGGCTGCACAGGGAATGCCGAGAATGGTAGGAAGGAGCAGAGCAACCTAGACACAGGCGCAGCTCCCTTTTCAGACGCCGCTTCCTCCGGGTCGCTGATGCGGTTGATTAAGGATCTATGATGACATTAGTATGTATTAATTCTCACCTCCATACCTAGGTAATTGTCGCATCTTACATGAGGTCGTCCCTTTCGGTTCGGTCAAGAACTTGTGCATCTGATTGGTCCTGAAGCTTGTCTATTACCGCTGCGCACTGAGCAACGTCTTCCTCTAGACCACGTAACTCCTGCAATAACCTTTCCTTCTCTCGTTTCCTCTCCTCCATCTCGGGATCTGGAGGAGTCATCTTTCTCTCCGGTACGATTTCGACAGGTTCCTCGTCGATGGTGTCCGGGGGTATAGGCGTAAGGACTCTAGACTCGAGTTCTTTTGGCTCCAGCCTCAGAGGCGATTGTTGTGAGTTCGCCTTCAGCCTCGGCGGTCGTTTGCTCGGGGAAGAAAAGAGTACGCCTCGTCTGGGAGTGTCTCGTTGATCTGTGGTTCTGCCAGTTGGTGAGGTTGGCAGCTCGGCCTCCTCCTCATTCAAATGTTCCTGCGCCGTCGATGTTCTCGATCGTGAATTGAACCTACGTGGCCGCGGCGTAACGTTCTGCTCCCTCGACTGAGGTCTCTCGCTTGCGCCGGCTCTTGTCTGGTCTTCATTACGGGCTATCTCTGCTTGTACAGCCTGTTCCTCTGAGTTGCCGAATATGAATGCGCGTGCCTGCTTCCCGCGATTCAAGATATCGCCACGAGCATCGGGTTTAGAGGTCGCAGAATCTGAGGACGTGGGACGCGTTGGGAGCAGGTTCGGGTTGAAGCGCGCGAGGCTTGCTTTCGTTGGCGACGCAAAAGATGGTCGTCGCGGTGGCTTCTTCAAAGGACTCGAAGCCCTTCCTTGGTCTTGTGGCGAGTTTGTTTTCCGTCTCTTTCTGGCTGGCTCGTCCATTGCAGGTCGTCGCGCGAACAAAGTGCGCCTCACCCGGGATTGGTTGCTAGCAGTGGGTAATGACGCGTCAAATCACAATAATTACCAGAATAATAGTTACGTAGAGCCTTATGGCTTCTAAGTATGTGGTAGCGATGACTGAAAATGTTCGCGACGCGTCGTGTGGCTGTCGCATCAGATGCGACAGAACCCCTCGGCGGTTGTGGGCAGCTTTTGCCGACTGCCCGGAAAATGACTTCATACATGGTCTTCGCCATCATTCAGTCTTCTCATCACTAAGCTTGCTTGCTTTCTCATAATCTCCCATCGCGAGGCTCCTTGAACATCCAATGTCTACGTTTATGATATAACAAGACGTTGCGTCCGAACAACATGGATTTTCTCGGACGCTCTCTCATAGCTTCAGCCACGCGCCGCGGGCTACCGTCTTCATGTCGCAAAGCATGGCAACAAAGCAGTTCGGTCACGAGGTCTGGAAGAGTAGGACTTCAAAATCGCGATCGGATGCAGCGTCGCCATAAGGGCTACATTGCGCGTCCTGGCGAGCAGGCGAAACCGATCGAAGGCTTCTACGCAGGTCCGCTCCTTGCCACTATCGAAGGTTGAGACAAGACTGACTAGACAGAGCTGCTCTCCAAGCCAGTGAGCGAGACTCAGCCCATGACCCGGACAGCTCCAGAGCCGCCGCCACCGGAATCACTCCCAAAGACCGAGAAAGAGGAAGTATTGCAGAAGGCGAGGGTAGTCTTTGGATCGCGCCTAGCAGGACCCGGAGAGCGCAAGGCGGAGATTGAAGCCAACTCGCAGAATATCGCGGGTATCATGGTGCCTCCGCGCCCGACCGAGCCGGACAATTGTTGCATGTCTGGTTGCGTCAACTGCGTGTGGGACATGTATCGCGACGAGATGGAGGAGTGGGCTGCAAAGAGTGCCGAAGCTCGCGTGGCCATGCAAGCTCGGCGAGAGCGTGGTCAAGGAACAGGCGTCATGAATACCGGGCAAGGGACTCCCACGCATGTGGCCACAAGCATGGACGATGATGGGGGTGGAAGCGAGACTAACTGGGAAGCGGGGACTGCGGGAACCGCGCAGGGTAATTTGTTCGACGACATACCCGTGGGCATAAGAGAGTGTACGAAACCTTTTACTACAAGGTGCTTTTTGGCGTAGATTTGTGAAATGCCACCTGGGTAGTGTTTCACAAAGCTTGCTAAGGGCACCTATCTTCTTACCCCCCTTTGAGAATAGTTACTGACCTTGTATGCAATTCTTTAGTCATGAAGACGGAGAAGATGCTCAAGCAGAGACACATGGGGGAGAGTGCGATGGGCGGGTAGTCTAGAGAGCTGCAGAGCGGCTTTTCCGCCATGCATCATGCTGACTGCCACCACACATGGATGGGAATAACAATTGAATTCTGGTCTGGCATGCTGAGCCATGGTTCGTCCTGTCAGGGATGCAGCTGATGGCGGGTGACTGGTGGCAGCCGAGTCTAGCGTGGCCAAGGCGCTGGCTGCCATGGTAACGCGCATGTCAACATGGAGCTACCAGCGACCCCGGCCCCGCCTCAACTCCCCGTCCCAGACTTGTGCCTCCGAGCCGCTATCATTTTCGAGCATCTTGCTGCACCTTATTCTTGAGCTTCGTGTCCCGCACTATCCGCGCGCGCATCGTGCAGACGTCTCTCGCTGCGAAAGTCGACATACATACACCCCGGCGCCATGCCTGGGGCAACGCCATCAGAGCCGCCCTCAGTCACACTGTCGTGTATGAGGCCTGGAATACCCAAGGAAAGCAATGGCTAACGTTCTGCAGTTGCAAACAATTTCTGGGGCAAGGATGACGCCGGCGTCGGTCCTATGCTGGAGCGGCTGCACAACTCCAAAGTAACTTCAGATGAGCTCAAGTCGTTCTACGCTGGTAAGTCTTGAGCCCGCACCAAAATGGAAAGCATGGCCTGACCGAAATTCAGCACGAGCAGCCATCGAGGACGAGTATGCGCGGAAGCTCCTCAATCTGTCTCGCAAACCCCTCGGGTCCTCCGAATCCGGCACGTTGAAACTATCGCTCCAGTCCGTCCGAGAAGAACTCGAGTCCATGGGCAAGGCACATCAAAGCATAGCGTCGCAGATGAAGACGGAGTTGGAGGAGCCGCTGGCAGCGTTCGCGGGAGGGCTAAAGGAGCGGAGAAAGATCGTGCAGGGCGGCATCGAGAAGTTGCTCAAGACGAAGATGGCACAAACGTCTGCCGTGAACAAATCTCGAGACAAATACGAGCAGGATTGTCTCAAGATCAAAGGCTTCCTCGCACAAGCGCACATGGTCATGGGCCAAGAAGAGCGAAAGAACAAGGCGAAACTCGAGAAGACCCAAATCCAGATCTCGAGCACGAGCGCCGAGTACGAGGCCGCAGTCAAGGTGCTCGAAGAGACGACTGGGAGGTGGAATCGCGACTGGAAGGCTGCATGCGACGTGGGTTGTCCGAATGAACTCAATGGGCGAAGCTAACCTAGCTGCTGCAGAAATTTCAGGATCTCGAAGAAGAGCGCATCGACTTTACTAAGAGCAGCCTGTGGACGTTTGCAAACATTGCTTCCACAGTGTGCGTAAGCGACGATGGGGTGAGTGCCACTTAGATGCTCCAGCAAGACAATGCTCATACAGCGCGTAGGCATGCGAGAAGATCCGCTTGTCCCTCGAGGATTGCGACGTGGAGAAGGACATCACCAGCTTCATCAAAGATAACGCTACAGGTCAGGAGATACCAGACCCTCCAAAGTTCATCAACTTCTACCGTGGAGACGCCGATGATGCAGCTTCTGAAGCATCCGACAACGGAGCCTATTCGGTAGCCCAATTCCCAAGAACTATGAATCCTGTGTACAGGGCGTCTTCGCCTCAGCCTTCCATGTTCGAGTCGCATCATGACCCCAACAATCCATTGGCGAAAGAAATGGGACTTGGGAGCCCTCAAGGAGAGTCCATTCCGCAAGATTACATATCAGTCCCAGGTCGCCAGCCAACACAGCTAGCGCAACAACCTCAAACTGCGCAACAGTCAAGGGGTGTACAGCCGGACCCGCGCTTAGTGCAAGCCCAGCAGCAGGCTGCTCAACACTACCAACAAAGTCAGGTTCCTCACAATGATTACCCAGCGGATGGCATGACCCAATTCTGTAGGATCGGTCCACCTTCTGAGCGAAGCACAGTTCCGAGCCCCGTCCGTCCGGATAGCAGAGACTCTGAGAGCGACTACTCTAACCCAACATCGTTTTCGAGCATCGAGCCTCCCAGTGGCTCAGCATCTCCTGGAAAGCCCATGGCTCCAGCGCCAGCGCCAGCACCAATTGCCCAGCCTTTGGTAGATGAGAGTCAGGTACAGAAGAAAAGAGGGTTCTTCCAGAATCATAGTCCTTTCCGACGGAAGAGCAAACACGAGAACCAGCTTGACTCGGGCTCCATTACTCCCAGCGCCAGGAATACGTGGGCCCCTACCTCTAGAAACAATGAGAACACAAGCCCAACGCGCCCTTTCGGCAGAGGTGCATCGCGCCCAACTTACGGTGCAGAGCGCTCTGCGAGCCCCGAGCCTGTAGACCCTCGTGCAAACTTTCAGCTGAATATAGGCAACAACGTCTTCGACGTAGCCTCTCCCGACGCACGCAAGCAGAATAAGCCTCAGAAAAAGGAAGAACCAGCAGAGGAATTGGATCCGATCGCTCAGGCGCTCGCAGAGCTAAAAGGTGTTACGAAGCAATCTTCCTTACGTGTGTCAGCAGACCGCTATCATGGTCTTGCCACTCCCGCTCCTCCAGGCACTCCAGGTGTCGCAACTTCTCCGGTTCCAGGTGGTATGCCTACTCCTATCACAAATGTGAACCTGAATGCAGCGCAACGAGGAACTCCACCGCCATCGTACGAGCAACCCCCAGTGTCGCGCCTCGGGGCACCACAGCCAGCTCACACAGCTCGTGCAATGCGGCAAACCACAGAGCGATACGTCAACCAGAAGGTCGATATGTTTAGTAACGGCGCGAGCTCCCGTCCAACAACTCGCGGAGGGCCGGCTCAGGACATTCCACGAGCTACATCGCCCGCTCCACCCCGTGCAACAAGTCCCAGGCCTGGCATTTATCAGCCCCAGTCCCGTCCGTCCGCGGACTATCAGCGATCAGCTTCTCCTAACCCATATGCATCATCTACCACGAATCGACCGCGGGCGCAAACACAATCCGGCCCAAGCCCTATCAAGCCATCACCGTACGGTAACCCGACCAGTAGAGGCTCATATGCGTCCTCGCGAGGGGGCTCACCTGGCCATGCAGCGATTCCACGCGCAGTCTCCCCTCAACCACCTCCTCAGCCGGTGTTCGCCAACACGCGACCAAACTCGCGAGCCGCCGCTTCGCATTCACGAGCAGCCAGCCCCAACCCAGCATTCCGCCAATCCTATGACCGACCTTCAAGCTCGAGAGGCAGTGATATGGCATTGCAAATTGCTCCTGGTCCAGGCAGCGAGCGTGGCGATGGCAGCGTATACGGCGGCAGCGTTAGAGGGCGCGGCGGCGGTGGTGGTCAGCGACCGCAGAGTGCATACTATAACAATGCAGGTAATCGTCCCATGTCCGGCTATGGCAACGGAGGCGGAAGCCAGATTAGCAACCGCGAGAGGAGCAAGAGTCTAGCAGAGCCGAGACAGTATACCGCAGATGGACGCATGATTCTGCATTATTGTAAGTAGCCCCTCTCCTTCACCGAGATATTGGGTTGGAGATTCGAGCTAACGTGTGGCAGCGCGAGCAATGTACATGTACACAGCACAGATACCCGAGGAATTGACTTTTGCAAAGGGCGACATTCTCGCCGTGTTGAGACTGCAGGATGACGGGTGGTGGGAGGCGGAGGTTGTGGGCAAGAATGGCAGGCCCGGGTTGGTGCCGAGTAATTATCTGCAGAATTGCTGAGTTGGTGAGCAGTTGGGTGTGTTTGAGGAGAGTTCTCTAATGTCTTGGACGCGACTTGACTTGATTTGGGCATTTTGTGCGATGATGAGGTGTGTTTTGTATGGTGTTGGGGTGTCTGGGTTTGGTACTTATGGAATGGATGTATGCGCTCGTTTTGAAGGGGGAAGGAGGGAACTGATGTAGTATAGGAGAGGAAATTGTATATGGGTCTTGATGGAGTGAATAACAAGTTCGTGTGATGTTCTAATTGTATTCCTATGTCGCTTGTCATCGGTATTGCTCGTAGTAGGCACTAGATTATATCATGTGTAGGGGCCCGAGTAACAATAGATGAGCCGAAGACTTCCGGCGGCGCAGTTTGTCGCAGATATTTGTTAGATTAAAGTTGGCACCTCGTTTTCTTGTGAGTCTCTGCATAGACCGGAGTTTGCAGAAAACCTTATCAATACTTCGTGGCTCTACGACGAGCACGGCCAAGACTTCAACAACGATTTCCTCAACCATCACACAACGATATAGCTTCTAACTTAGGATCCAACTTCCTCTCATACGCAATAGTGAGTCTGTATTCTCTCAGAATATAATATTGCGTAAGAAGCAGGAAAAGTAGAGTTGAAGTTCTGCGCTACACTGTCTTAGTATGGCGCGGTTAGAAGCTCCTCGTATACTACATCAGGAATGGACCGGGCTCATGATATTCCTTTCAACTCCGTCTTACGCTCCCTCTAATATCTGTCCCTCGCTGTTCCCAAATTCCCTGTGGAACAGTACGCCCGTGAAAATCTACAACCTCAAAACCATCTCAACCCTCCAACCCCTCAAGCCGCCGCCGGCGTAAGCCCAACCAGCGCTCCATTCTTCGACGCACACGTCAAGGTCAGACTCTCAAACCACGGCCCTTGATCCCTACACTCCAATTTCTGAAACTGCTGCACCATCCTCACCGTCACGTACCCCGCCTCCGTCAGCGCATACTGCTGTCCGAGACAGATGCGCGGCCCGCCGTTGAAGGGCAGGTACTCCCAGCCAGGCCGCAAGTGCTCCCACCGCTCCGGCCGGTACTCTTCGGCATCCGCGCCGAAGAAGTCTTGCCGCCGGTGCGTCGCGTATTGCGAGTAGGCGATTAGCGTGCCTTTGGAGACGAAGAGCGGGAATGTGCCGTCGGGGCCGCCGCCGCGGGGGAGCACGGTGTCGCGGATGGCGAGGCGCGAGTTGCCGGGGACGACGGGGTGGAGGCGGAGGGCTTGAAGAGATGGGGTTAGTGGGATGTTCAGATTTTCGGGGAATTCAAGGAAGGAAGGGGAAGATGAGGAAAGGAGGCAAGAGAAGGAGAAGGGGGAAATATACATTCATTCATGCACCACTTCAAATACTTGAAATTCCTCAACTCCTCATACGACGGCGTCCGCCCATTCAGCCCCTCAACCTCCTCGCGCAGCTTCTGCCAGATCTCCGGTTTCCGACTGATCATGTTGAACATGTTGCTCAGCAGGCTCGCCGTCGTGTCGCGCCCGGCCAGCAGGATGTTGATCAGCTCTTCGCGTATGCGCTTCTTGTCCTTGGTCTGCTTGGCCAGCTCGTGGATGAAGACGTAGCGCTCCTCCTTGCCCGCTCCAGCGGCCTTCTCGACGTCCTGCGCTTCGCGGTACCGGACCGCTTCGTCGACCCACTTGTCCACGTACTCGTGGCAGATGCGGATCGCCTCGTCGCCCTGCTTGTGGTTGCGCAGGCCGTTGAGCGGACCGAAGCGGATGCTGACCATGGCGTCGGCTTGCGCGAATTGGAAAGCTTTGGCGAATTGCGTGTCTTCGTTGGAATCATCTTCTGGGTGGCCGACCATCCGGAGTGATTCGGTG